ATGCTGTGTACCTTAACCAACAACTTCAACTGAACACAGAAAAACTACTTGAAAAAACAGCGGGGAGAAGAGAGCCTCAGATTATTTTCCTGTGTGGCATGACCACAGGGCAGAAGGCTTCCTCTCCTAAATGCATGTGTGTAACCCATGCATAAAGATAAGGGTAGATTGAGAACGGGCAGTTTCAAAGCAGGCGCTCTGGAAGCCTTGCATCTAGCTTAAAACCTGTACTCAGCTCTCAGTAGTACCAGGACATGTTTCATATAGATGTCCTCAAGCAATGAAATAGGGATAGACCACTGCATTTCAATAGCCGCTGTATCTGCTACTCACAAAGTAGGGTTTCTGCTTCAGTCAGGCGAGTATAGAGAAACAGAAGGGAAGAGCAGTCAAGTCAAATCAGTGACACAGCTCTCTGAATATTGTGGTTTGGGTCATCTTACTTCCTTAGTCCTCCAGTAGCAAATGAGGCTCATAATATTTTGCTTTAATGTGTTAAAGTCTTGTTCCAGTTTCTGTACAGTGCCTTGGAAGAGTCTCGTAAGTATGCCAACATTTGGTAACTAGCTGAAAAGGAAAAGATGACTGATGTCTAGAAGACCAATAAAGAAAAAGACCCCAAAGCTTCCCATTGTGATTCCCAGCCAGTTCACAGTGAGGAAACAAAAGCAAGTTGTTGAAACTTGCATCTAAATAGTGTAGTTTGCAATGTATCTGCAATCTCAAGAGGTATTAACAAAGATTAAACATTGAATGTAGGTATAATCCATCAACAGGAAGTTTTTCTGTGTAGGACAGTTGAAGGCAATTTAATAGGAGTCTGTGCTTTTGTGCAAAATTCCTTCCATGTGTAACATCTGGAATGGCACTGGACAGATGACCCAGTTTTAGTGTCAAGTTTTATTTTTTTGGTCAAAATGGCAGGAAATACACTGGGCATCTGAAAACAGTTCAGTAAAGTTTCAACACTACAACCTATTGCTACATTGTAGTTTATTGCACATTCTGATTATTTTTTTAAACACTTTTTTAACACTGGTTTGTCTTAAACTTGAATCTTGCCTCAATGTCTGATACAGTAATCTTTGATGCAAGGTTGGTTTTTTAATTAAAAGTTATTTCTATATATGTTGTATACAGTCTGATGGCTTTTTAGAAGTGAATGTGATGCGTCCCCTTGACACAGAGACCAGCTTGGCCCAGAATGGCTGTGCAGGCACACTGGAGTGGCAGCTGCACTGCACTGGTGCTGGGAGGCTGAGGCCTCCCTCGGTGTCTCAGTACAGAGCTGGATTTTTCCATCCCTCTTGTCCTGCATGTGCATCTGCTGCTGGGAAAGAGGTTTCTGAAAGTTGCGTGTCACAAATGCTTTGCCAGGTCTTTCCATACCTGTATCCATTCACTGAGAAGCCTGATCCAACCAGCTCTCACCCAGCTTTGGGGTAAGGTCAGGACTTCCTTCTCTGCCTGATCCCTGGGGCAGTGTGAGGAGTTTCTGCAGTTCAGGAGAGGGGGCAGACCCAGTAAACCACCCAGCTAACTGCCTTCCTCAGGAAATGGAAATGCAATCCAGCATTTTATGGGAAGGAGCAAGAGGGACCAAGAACAGGCTGCTTCTGCTTTCCTCACATCACCTGCCCACCTCCAACAGCCCTTCCCAGGGCAGGGGAATGCTTTGTGCGCATGGCAAGGGAGAGGATGCTTTTTGGGAAGCCCTATGCTGTGCTCCTCACCCACAGCACCTCTGCCATCATTTGCCAGCTTCCTGCGGCAGACCAGGCACCGTGCCCTCCCCTCCCTGCCTCTGCTCTGTGCATCTTTGCTCCAGCACCACATTTTTCATTGGCCCCATTTCACTGCAGGGACAAGGTTAGAAAACTGAACTGAACTTGGTCACGGGACCAGCCCCCTCCTTTCACCTTCCCCTGCGCTGCGTGCAGCTGGAATCGGCACTAGGACTCTCCTTCACTGCCTGCAGCCCTTTTTCCTGCAGAGCTGGACCCCCACCTCCAGGCAGCGCGGTTTTGGATGGATGCTGGTGTCCTGAGGAAGCCATTGGTGGTAGGAGCGGGCTGAGAGCAGAGCCAGGCTCATGTTTGAAGCCATAAAATGTGTAAGAAACCTCTGTTTTAAACCAACCACCAACCTGTTTGATTTGGCTGTTAAGCTATGGAAACGGCTGTCAGCACTGCGCCTAATGCTGTGGGCTGAAGGTATTACAAAGGCTCACTGTGAAAAAGCAACTCAAACACAATGCAGCAATGCCCCCCATGCATGAAACCAGGTGCTGCAGCTTGACAAAGCCATTTCCCTTACACATCATTTACCATTTTCTAAGCCATTTTTTAAAGCCACTTAGATTCTGCTCCCTGCTGCTAGGAGGGTTTAAAGGCTTCAGGTCTGCATCCAGGACCTTCATGGAATATAAGTACAAATACAAACGTCTAAGCCCTATTAAAATTAAGTTCTCTCTGTGTGTACTGCAGTGTTTTCTCTTGCTCAGGGATGTGCTGCACCATCCTGAGCAGCACATGCCCAAGCCCAGCCTTATTCAGCTATCTCTGAGTTTCTTTTACCCTGTTCTCCCATGCAGACAGAGCCTTTGCTCTGTCAGATCACCCCGGACCACTTGAGCCCACATGGCTCAACATGAGAGTGTGCTCACCCTTGTTGCTGAAACTTTGTCAGAGTATTGCAACATATAATGGGCCTTGGGGGTTATTGGGCCTTGTGGGTACCATGCAAGCAGCTCTTTGGGTTTCCATGTTAGTGGTGGGTTCAAGTCCTGCAGCTGTTACGTTACTGAGGACAGGCTGAAATAGAGCCCAACAGATTACTTCTGTTACTGTGTAGAGGCAAGAAACCACAATAGTCTTAAACATTAAAAGAACAAGTTATCAGTCATTACGGTTACTTCCATGGATGCTTTGTAGTCACTAATAGATTTAACCTTAATGTGTAAACAGCTGCTGCACACACCTGGGTGGGCTTTGGAGGGAAAGAAGCAGTTGAGTAATTTTACTGTATGTGTAATTTCTCCCTCTCACAACACTCCTGCTCTGAGAGTCAGTGAAAGTGCAAACTGCCAGATTTAAAACCAAGCGGCTACAACCTGTGAAAGAAAACGTATCTTAGGGGTCAGTGCTCAGAACAAAGCACAGCACCCTCAGTTAACTAGCAGGACTTTGGGATGTCCCCTGTCCCCCCAGTTAATTAGAGAAAAAAGCAGAAATAGTTTGGTTATCCTTTGAGCCCAGCAAGGCTACTACTGCTGTAGTCCTGCTGCTTTCAATAGCATGAAAATAGCACTTCCACATCCTAAGCTATCATTTTGAGAGCCTGTTTGTGGCTGCTTGCCCTGCATGTTAATTACCAGAGCCTGGCCTGTTTCTCTGTATTAGACTCTACACAAGATCTTTCCAGAGGTATGGATGAGCTGCTTTACCACACTGAACAGCCGTTTGGACAATTACCTTTCCTAGCCAAGCTTTCTCTTGGCAAACCTCTTCAAAAAGATTTCTTCAGTGCAGGAGGTCCAGATGACTCCACTTTTCTTTTGCTAGTTCTCAAATGGAACATTTGCTCACCTAAACCACAGATGACCACACAGGAAAAAGTACAGTTTAGCCATTTCAGACACTTGTCTAGACTGAACTAGCCCTAGCTCCTCCAGCTACAGGGACCTTGCAGGTCCTGGGCTTAGCAAAAAGGGATGCATCAGCTCTAGCCCTGCCTCAGCACTTGGTAGGTGACGTGCTCAGCTTCACTGCAAGGACAACACGTTTCACTTTGGCCTTGTGGAAATGCAACTGGCTGCAGCTGTTGAGCCTCCTTCCCTGGGGCAGCAGCAGCAGACTGTTTGCAGCCCTGCTGTAATGACAAGTTGAAGGGAGAAAACACCATGCAGAAATACCACCAACTATCAAAGGAGGCAGCAGTACTAATTAGAGCCATGGGGGGCAGGTCTCAGCTCTTCCTCTAGTGAGCTCTGCCCATTTCCATGTTCAAGCAGGCCAAGCTGTGAGGCTGGTACAAACAAATTGAAGGTATGACAACTATTTGGCTTCACGGTTAAGCCTTCTGCAAAGCCATCTCCCTGCAGCGGTTTCAGCCTACGTACACTGAAATCACTTTGGTAGACAACATTATTGTATGTCACTATCTATCTGAACTGTTTACTGAGGCACATACACAAATCAGGGAGCCTAGGGGTCAAGATAAGGGTTTGGGGGTTTTCCACTATCTATCTTGGTTTTAAAGCATCATTCCTCCAAGGAATTCCACCACTGCCAGGAATTGCAGACACAGCTATCTGAACTGGCTAGCTGAAAGGTAAATGAGAACATATTTCCCACTTTGTGACCTGGCAAAGGTGTTGCACTGACTTGTTTGATGCTTGTCTTAATGTCAGTAGAGCACTTAAATGCAGTAGAACAAAACATAGGAACATTTCTAGCAGCTGTGGCATTTGTTTTGCCCTTTTAAACTGCGTTTTTCCCAAACTTACTTATTCCCAAACCCAGTCACTTTTGACAATCAGCTAAAAGGAGACTTACCACACCAAGGAAGGGGTGTTTAATGCAGAAGTGGAAAAGTTTTGTAGGAATGCACAGATCAAATGACAAAATACAGACAGCAGAAGGCAGTTTGATTAGAGTCTTCCACAAGAGCGATTGCTTGTGGCGACGCTACACTCTTCTAGCAAGCAAATACCTGACTGCAGTTTAGGTCAATCCAGTCAGTGTCCTAGGCTGTGCCATGAAGTTAACATCCTCAGAATCACGAGACAGGTTCAAACCATTGCATTTCCAACCCTGAAAGACAGCCAGAATGTTTTGCACTGCTGCTTGCTTCACTGCAGTGAGGGAATGATTCTCCTCTGTTGAGCAGCAACACGTTTCCACAGTCAATGTTCGGATGTTGATCCAGCCCTTCCTCACACGAGAAACAAGGGTTCTCCTGCCCGCACAGAGCCCTCTGGAACACTGCAGGGGTGGGTCTCATCGATCCAGACAGCGCTTTTGAGCTGCTTCTGAACACACATTCCTTAGGAGATTGATCACAGATCTCGGATCTGCGCTCTTCATAATGGCACTACCAGATACAATCATATTTGCACCTGCCTGGAAGACATCAAACACCCACTCAGTTAACACAGAACAGATCCACTTCTCAAAGAGTCGTCTTGCTGTAAAACACGTGAATTCTAAGCCTGTGGGCAAACAAACACTATTTGTGGGATGCAGGAAACACACCTACAACCACAAACCAAGGTCCGAAAAGACAGCTCTTCCCCAAACAGGTAATTGCTATTTAACCAAACACACAAGAAACAACCAACTTCTCCAGCTTTGGGGACTGCTTCAGTAGCCACTATTAAAGGCACAAGACAGGACCACAGGAAAATATTGGTAGTGTGCTTTGCTGTTCCCTCTGAAAGCTCACAGCCAAAATGCAACTCCTCCTAAGGTTTATTCCCAAGGGATGAATACGTCTCTTAGCACAGCGACTGAGAACGCTGTTCCACATCAGCCTCTTACCTCTGCGCACTTGTGGATGGTGTCAGGCCCAACTCCTCCATCCACTTCGATGTCCAGTGAGGGAAACTGTGTCCTGAGCCACTGAACCTGAGGAACAGCACATGAAGGTTGGCCCCAGGATCCACACTCGGCTGCTACAGTTACAAAGAGCTTCTTACACTCCCAGACAAGGTTTATTCGCTTCCCCACTACACCCCATACTCTTAATTTGCTTTATGCTCAATAAATAAGGGAAGAGGAACCTAGTTTACCTTTGGCATCATGTCTTCCATAAATTTCTGCCCTCCGAATCCAGGTTCGACTGTCATCACCAAAGCCATGTCTATCTGATTGGCCCAAGGTGCCAAGTGCTCAACCGTGGTGCCAGGCTTGATCGCCAAGCCAACCTGCAGGAGAGGAGAGACAACTCCAAGTGCACCTTAGGATGACAGCAACACCGGCTTGAGCTCAGTATGGACTCCTAGGGAAACAGTTACGTGTCTGTGCAAGCGCAGTAAGAATAAGCTGCTTTAAATCAAGATTCCCAACGTTCTTAACTAGAACTGAAGACCGGCTTCACACACAGAGCATCAGGACCGCATCAACCGCTCTCCGACCACCCAAAACCGCAGCGAGGGCTTTTCCATCGCCAGAAACACGGCTGCCGGTTGGGCTGAGCACAGGGTGCTGCTCCCCTCACCTTCATCCCATTCTCCCGAATGTCCTTTATCAACGCGCCCGGGTTGTCCGTAGCTTCCAGGTGGAAGGTGTACTGGTTCGCGCCTGCCACAGC